ATATAATATATATATATATATACGTTTACTTATGGATACCTTGTAATCCAGTCCTGAGTGTCTACATTACTTACCAGATGCTGAAGCTTCGGCTTCCTCTCCCGTTTGCAACATCATCGCCGCCCACTGGGCCTGATCGAACCTCCTCGGCAATTGTTGCACTTCATGCCCTGCAACACAAAGTGGGTAAAACTAATGGCATCCATGTTCTCTGCAGGTGCAGGAGGCTGTAGACTGTCACGTGATCTGTTCAGGCTTCTATCATTTCAGAGCAGCTCCGCTTCCGCTTGTTTCAGGACAACCTTGCAGCAAGTGTGAAGGTTTTGTGAGAAGTTCAGCATTGTGGAAAGTTTCGTTTGCCTTGCTGCACAGCGAATTCGCCAGACACTGACCTGGAGGGGTCAGCACGCAAAGTTCCTGCGTTAATGTCTGCCGCGGATTAGATGCAGATCGCAACGCGTTCACTAGCATCAGGCCATTTGAAGGGAGGGAAAGATTCCAGTGAGACAGCACCCGGTCAAATGTCATTCCCGGCATTGATATTTGACGCACGAACTCAGCATAGCGAAGGGCAGAGCACAAAGCCGCTACATACTTATCAGATTTTAGCTGTTTGTGCGCTTCAGTTGCCCAAGCCTTCAACCCTACATCCTGAGATACCCAGTTTCTCAATCCACCAGCCATAGTGCTGGGAGGCACTCGCTTTCTCCCAACACGAGCGGGTGAGCCAAAGATCGCTGCAAGCTGTGCTGCTGCAGAGCCAAAAGCGCAGCAGAGCAGAACACGAAAATCTACCCAAGTTCCTTTACGCAAAAAGCTACGTCAATCCGAAGAAGCCCGGCGATGTCTAAATACTAATACGAGCAGTAAGCTGGTGTCGCATGACAAGCTAAAACTACTCTTTAACATAAATATCTGCAAGATCTTACTGATTTGGGAGCACAACTTGTGGAAACCTGCATGCAGCACAAAAGGGCAGTTAATAGAGTATCCAATGAACCGGCCTGCTGCACAAATGGACGATTGGGGAGGTACTGTGCTTTTCGCTCTACCCTACTGTGACGACTCGGAGGCAACAGGTTAGGGCTAGGGTGGCACGTTTTGGCCTACGCAGCCTTCTTGATGCGGTCCTGGACATTCCACCCAGAGCTAACAGCAATGGGGAGCTGGCCTCTGGATTCTTGCGAAGAATCAAACCCTTGGCATCCTGTAAAGACCTTCCTAGTACTTCTGCTGAGGCGCAAACCTCTATGGCTTTGGCCTCCTTTTCAGCACTTTGCAGCAGCGGTTGTACTCCACCGAGTAGTCGATGGGATAGGGCGGATATTTGCAAGTTCAGTTGTACGCTCGTTGTAACAGGTGAATTCGCTGCATGCATATATCACAGAAAGCGCCGACCAACCACATTTGTTTCAGTATGGAGATCAATATTTATATTCTCGAAATCCGAGAAAATCAGATCCTGTCAAGTGCACTCACGTGTTGGAGAAGCCAGAGGTGCGCCGCCTTCAATTTCCTTGGCTGGAAAAGGAGAACAGCACAACACAAAATAGCTATCATATTCCTGTTCCTCCCTCTTCTAGACAGGCGTAGTCCTTAATGCCCTTTGGTCATCTCGTCCTATCCTATCTGCAAGGGAACCTGCTTACCCCAATCAGTTTTTGCGTACACCTGGCCGCATGCTTCCTTGCTCCTTTCAATGGAAGTTCTGAGTTGCTCCCTCGCCTCTCCCGTTGCCAGCTGCAATAAGGGTATGTGTTTAGCTGTAAGCGCACCCACCGTGAAGGAATACCAATGAACGCAATTGACCACTTTCGAGACAAAAAACAACAGTGCGGTGACCACCACCCCAGGCTTTGTGCAAACAAGTCTCACCGCACATAACGCATAAGGCTAGACGGAACTTCTGCAATGAATTGTCAGATTCCTTGATTCCAAGCTCTCGTCTAGTGGACTTAAACAGCGGAACTTCCATTGCACGTTCAAGAAGGGAATCAACTTCTTTGATTGAGGAGCCTTCGATATACTGCTCGTAGAGGCGCACAACTAGCATACAGGCTGTAGGAGCAAACAATCCACAAAACACACAAAAACCTACTTTTCCCCTCTAGGTCATTTTAATATTTTACACTTTGAGAGGTAAGGCCAAAGCTAAACAGACTAGATCCTCCCACCAGCTGGGGAAGGTTCATTTGCCTCAACGACGATTTACCGTCTTCTGTCTTCTCCACTTTTTGTCCCCCTTCTGGCTTAGGTGGAATGAGGGTGATCATTTCCTCCGGGTCTACAGCATCCGCGTTTTCAGTTTTGACTACGTCGATTTTCTTGTGAACTTTCTTAGTGGATACACGCCTAGGTGGTGTTGGTATGATCGTTTCCTCTGTGACTTCAGACGGCTCAGGCCTTTGTTCTGGTGGGGGCACGGTAGTCGTTTCTGTAGCTGTTGGTGGTGGTGGTGGCGGAGGAGGAGACGGCTCTTCCTCAGGTTCCTTCTCAGGTTCAGCTTCCTTTGAAGGAGTCGGAAGGGGAGGTACAGTGGGAGGGGGCACCGGCAGGATCACAGGAACCACTTTCCTGTTAGGCCGTTTGCATGGAAGCGTTGGAAACGTTGGAAGTAACCAGCCAAACACTCCAGCTGCCAATGTCTCCTCTGCAGTTGCCGGAAAGGTGTATGGCTTGACAGCGATTTCTGCTGCACGCAGGGCAAACACAATCAAGATGAGCAACCAGAATTAACAAGCACTGCCTGTCCAGAGGCAAGTGTAGGAAAACCAGGCATCCCAGTTTTAAGCAAATAGTCTTCCATCTACTGCGCCTGCAAGTTCAAGGGGGTGGAATCAGGAGTGACCCACCACCTATAGTAATAGAGACGCCATTTTCCCCCTCAGACCGTAGAGAGCATGTGCTGTCGCATATCTCTAATGAATCCTTAGTCCAGGTTTCTGTGATACTAGCTGAATTAAAGAAGTGCTCGACGTTTTGTGGGCTGGACAACCGAGCGATCGACATGTTTCCAAGAACGTCTTGCATGTAGGCGAAGACCCGCATTGCTTTCATCCCCAGCTTGGAGAGCGAATCAACAGTAGCCGCAGGAAAAAACGCCGGATAGCGTATTACTGCTTCTGGGTATGACGTTGCTGTTGTTGTGTACGTTATCATCATCTGGCTGAGAATGGGCCTGGCCTTGGCAGCTGCAGAAACAATACGTGTGATAAGGGGTTCAACCGGAGTTGCTCACTCTAGGTCATGCTTGAATGGGTGTTGCTGAAATGAGGAACCCTAGTTGGCAATATTTGTCCAGCTAATTCGACAGGTCCGGTCTCCCTTGAACTCACCGAGGGGTGCAGTCACTTGTCTAGTGACACTTTCCTCCTGGGCGCGCCGTTCCTTAATGAAGCTGTCGAAGGCTTCCAAAGTATGGAAGACGCTTCCCAAAGAAGGAATGAGTTCGGAAATGATCTTTGTATCTTCCGCCCTGCACTGCGAATAAGATGGATCCCGTTTCACTGCGATGTTAAATGCTTTACTCACTCGCACTTGAGTCTGCGGATGGCCGCTAGCGTATTGAAGCGCTACGGCTGTAGGCGTCTGAAGGTTCTTCGGCAAAGGCTCCCGAAGCTTTACCAACCAGGCGATAAACGTTTCTAGCGTGGGTGTTTTTGTAGCACTAGCAAACATGTCGTACAACTGCTGTATCATCTCCAACTTGATGGAGTAGCGTCCGAAGGAGTCAAGTCCTCGGTGATCTTTTCCACAGCCAACTGCATCAGACAAGCTCGTAGGTTATCTCGTCGAGTGTGCGGTCCCCAAGAAGGACAATGCGGAAAAAGTCTGTGTCGTTCTACATTCCACTACGGGAGCAAGAGGGATATTTTCCACCGTGGCAGTTATGCACTAGTGGCTCTACAAAATTCCCAACAAACCGGCTAAACGTTGTCTTTCTCACTCGTGTCGAGATGGGAGGCCATGAGATAAACCTGACGTTGCCACGCTTGAGAATCTTCTTCCTGGAGTTCGACAAGCTCTGCACAGGCCGCAGGGGCCTTACCCTGTGCAAGCCAGTCTGCCAAAAATCCTTCCCACATCTCTTTGTTTACTATCCTTTGAAACTGTTCCGCAGGGTCAGCACATTTTCCCAGTGGTTGTGGGCTTCCTTGTGAACCTGTGCACTGGGTTTGCAACCTCTTGTCAGCAAGGAGGGGTCCCGTGCACTGCTGCAGGCATCCTGAACATCCATTTCACGAACCAAAAGGAGAAGGTCCATGCTGCACATCGTTCAGACGGGAGTGCTGTGGGGAGTACATTTTGTGAGGACTTGCATGTTAAGGGGCTCACTGTGTTGAGTGACTATGACTGGAATGTATAACTCACCGTGGGCAGCCTCTATGAAGTATGACGCATTTATCTCCCTACGAAAGTCAGAAAACTCTCCCATGACCCATGTCCTCACCCTCATTCCCGCTGTTCGCTGTGCCTGCTTAAAAGCGTCACTAGCAACTATGAGCTTGGCGAAGATTCCTTCAGCACACCGCAGAGTAAAGGAGATATGTATGAGCACTTTTCAATAGCATCAGAATCTTAGACAGCACAGAGGTTCTCTGAAGTCCCCCATGTTTACAGTCTTTTATTTAGCACTTCTTGCTTACTATGTAATTCCTTGAGCACTGCATTTGCCAAGGCGATAGTTTCACCGGAGTACTTCGACGGCCCAAACCCGGATTCTTCGCCTTCTTGTTCTCCTGGTCCTACTTTACTGGCTAGGTATTCAGTGATATAAGCTTGCACCCCTTCTGTCGTGCTGAACCGTTTCCGCATCTCTGCTGACGGAGTCTCTAGATGCGACTGTATAGTAACAAAAAGCTGGCGTGCTTGCTGTCTCACGAAAGCTGAGCCAGACACAAGAAGCATATGCCTCGGGCGCTTAAATCCGGAGGGACAACATGCACGCATTCATCATTGCTAGGAGGCAGTTAAGTCAGAGTGCTGTGTGATGAGCTTTTTCAGAAACTAACTTGATTCAACTGCCCTTGCGGAGAGCCCAGTTTTCTCGGCGGTGCCCATGTACACTCGTCGCAGGGTTTCATTCCCGCTTATTTGCTCTAGATGTCCTCCAAGTCTCTCCATGATGACAAATGATTTAAAGGTACTGCTGTCTCCGGCAGGTGGAGCTTGGGAGCCTGGAAAGCGAATGAGCCACAGAAAATAGTTCCTTAAGAATATCTACGGTGCACTCTCCTGTAAAACGTTCGATTTACTGGAAGACAACTGCTTTGTCCCAAAGTTCACACGCTGTTATAGAACACTTACATGTCTCTTCCGTTGTAGATGCTATCCGTTCACGAATTGCAGGGCCATACAGGTAGAATTCTCCATCCTCAAGGAAGGACATTCCAACGTGCAGCAGGTTGTCCTCCATTTGATTCGAAAATTCTACCAAAGCATCGAACAATCGAATGGAACCAGATTCCCTTGAAAGACGGAGATCAAGGGCCCCGCGAGCGAGAATAGAAGCTGCTCGAAGCGTTTCAGAAATATTTGAAGCTGCTGAAGTAAAGTCTCGTAGGGCGTCTGAAAACTGTGGTCCTTCGGGCAATATGTCAGGTGCCCCCACAAAATAAGCTAGTGCATACACATGCTGCTCCAGCAATAGTCGAAGGGCAGGCCAAGTGACATTTTCAAGACTTTTGGAGACGCAGCTAATGTATGAATTGCTAGGGCGCTGGCATCTCCTCTCCTTCCCGCATGCTGTACTGATCATCCGTGAAGCCCAGCGTACAACTGCTATGCCGACTGCAACATAAACACACCGAGCCGCGCACGGTATCGATGTTCTCCTCGTTATTTACAAGGGCAGAGCACCAATGTGGGAACGTCGTCGTGGATTTGCTGGAATCGGAAGACCCCCGTGGCTAATGGTTTGCAACAGTTGTGGATAGTGTCATCACCGTACACTTGGTTCCAGATTCACGCAGCATCTCGTATTCCAGTGACAGGACTTTAGGTGAAGGAACACCATTTAGCGAGAAAAGTAAAGGAGCGTTTTCCAAAATGATGGAGGCGTACAACAATGGATCTGAGGCGAAAAAGATATTTAGTTAACGAAGCATTCTCTGTTGCTACTATGCAGGAGCAGGCTGAATACAATTCCCGTGGTTGACGAACGCAACGGTCAACTACCAAAGAGTGTGTATGATTGGAGATGGTCCAGCGCAACAACTCACTGGCGCTTATTGTTTCGAGTCCTCCCAAAGCTTGCAAATGGCTTTCTAGCGTGGTCATCACTTCTGACGAACACTCTGCAACTGAAGTCTCTACGGCCTGCTGAAGAGGAGAAAGAGCGACACTCTGTTCAAGCAGGCCTTCGGTGTCAGACCTCGCGGAGCCGCTGATTCTTCTTCCTTTGACTGACTGTAAAACTAGAAGAGATGCTGGAAAAATCGCAAAATACCAATCATAAAGAATTGAATTCATTGCGATAAGAAACAGATAACTCGCGGAGTGAAACAAAAGGGAATATTGACGGACTTGCAAAGACTTGAGCTGCAAGGCTTCCTTGCTTCTTCGTAGTGGAGCTGTGGAAAAACATATCCAACGGCGACCAAACCTTGGGCGTGCCAACCAATCCACTACATTTCTCCACTGTTCTCTGGAATCCCGGTTCGTTAATTCCAAGGCAAGCATCTCTAGCCACGCATGCAACAAGTTCCAATATATCCCCGATAGATCCTTCCACAGCGCTCTCCACTGTGCGTTCTGAAGAGCTTTCGGCTACCTCAGGTTGGTAAAATAACCCTGAAAAGCGTATGCAAAAGTATTCAGTGGATTTCCCCAAATGGATGGCCTAAGTACGCCACTGAGAAAACTTGCGCCGACCTCGAGCGATTGGCAGCACGTACAGGGGAACAGTTTAATCTAAGCAAAAGTTTAGCGTACTCTGTGCAAGGCGGAAAGCTGATGAAACTTTGTGGAACCGGTCGAAGCGCAGCCACTGAAACTGCTGGAAGCCCTTCTGGAGCTCTAATTGAGAGCGGATCCCTTGAGTAAAAAGGGCTTGGGTTTCTTGGTCGGTTACTGAAATTCTTGTTTCTTCCGATGCAAGCTCTCGCACTTGTTCTAGCCCCACGCCAGTGCCCTTTGATGAGGCCGCATTTGCAGCGGCCTCATGTCCAATATGCTTAAACGCCTCAGCTGGGTTAAATTCATGACAGGAGAGGAGCTTTGAGTGCACATGCATAAGTTTTTGACGCGAGAAAGCAGGTGTACTGTGATGACTACGACTAATAGCTGCAGCATTCCTCCCAGGTTTATACCAGCTGAGGACAGAGAGCTCAAACTAGCCTTGGAGGTATCCGAACTCACCTAAAACTGACGCCTCAAGCGCCTGTGCTTCATTTTGTTCTTCAACCGAAGTGGGAATTCCAAGAGCTGTCAGTATGCAGGAAAATGTGTTGCCATTGGGACAGAGAACTTTGCTTGTTGCGGAGAACATGCCGTTGATGCCTCGAAGTCCGCCTCCATCGACAGAAAAGCATGCTGTAGATGCACAATTTCGGAAACATTGCAAATGATGAGCCAATGGCCCTGCAAACAGCTCTACCGATTCGGACCTACCGTTTCTCTTACGTCTGTTGCCCACACGCTGTACAGCATAAAAGCTTGAATTGACTCACATGTCAAGTTCCATAAAAGCATTCCACGCAAACTGGTGGGTATTGTTCTTCCAGCGGTGCGCAGCCTATTGAGGACCTCGTCTACTAGCTCCTCTGCTCTGGAATCGGAAATCTCTACCACCTCTCCTTGTCGTACAAGCTTTGGCCAGAGTAGAGTCATGGCCTCGTTCAGCCTTGAAATCACTGACAGACAGCAACCAACGTGAAAACACACACATCCGTTGGACGTTAGGTGGGAGTTCTGCTGGTGAGGCCAAGTTGACACCATATCGCGAGAAATTGTGTGGAAGATTCTGATTGTCTTACGCGGAGCCCCCAACCTGCTCCTCAATTCTGTCATCTCTCCCAAAGCTGGTGCCGAAAAGGAAGGGCGAACAGGGGCAAAAAAGGCGAACAACAGAAGGACAAGCCGAAAGGCCGCTAACAGGCCAAGCCGGGCGGCGCGGTTGCCGAACCGTTGGGGTTCTTCTAGACGCATTGACCTATTCATTTTTTAATCACAAAATGCAACAAAACCGTCACCAACACCAAAAGTACAAATGTCGATCTTATCTCCTTACGTTGCAACTGACGACTGCAACTAGCAGCGCGTGGGGCCCGGACCTCGATGAAACTGCTGCCTGCCTATCGGCTGTCTCTGCCGCCGCGTGTGCTTATGTGTATTCTCTACACATCCGAACAGTTATCGTGCATATCCTTTCAGAAATATTATGCAAATACCTTTACATTCTTTTGAGTAGGCATTGACTTCGTTTCGTGGCGAGTTACGCTTTACAGTACATGGCGCCGCTCGAGGTGACCTGGCAGCCAGCCCAGCGGCCATCGGCGGTCTCCACCGACGGTTAGCCATCTGCTACAACCACAAGACCGTCCAGTCAATGAATTTCTACCAAATTCCAGTACTCAAAATAAGCTCTACTGCGCTGAACCTGAACGAAATTGAAGCCGTATCATTGGTACTTTTCAGGTGGTCGGAAGGCCGCTTTCCCCTCTGGACCCTGTGCCTTGACAAAATGATAATAAAGGCATTTTCACAAAAACAGTATAATTTTAACTCATGATAGGTTAGTAAAGAGATCAGTTCGTCCTGGAAATAGAGATCTTACTTTCCTTCTCTGTGCCACAGTGCGTGCATCTGCGCAGGGGATGCACACACCAGCCGTACACACTGTCAATCTTTCCAACGAGAATAAGCTCTGCGGCTAGATTTTACAGTAACTCATCAAAACCCTGTGTACATTTTTTAACAACTTCCCGAGGTGCTGGCACTCACTGCAGCAGAAGCCCCGGGGCTTGTCGCCATATCTATAATGCTAGCATTTTCTGTAGCTTATCTAGAACTCGCCGAATTTCCACGCTGACCTCTTGGTTTCGATGCGGCGCTGTACTGACTTGCCCGTAGACCGACTGACAGCATTACCAACTGCGTCACAGCACAATGGGTAACTCCTACGAGTCAACTCCGCGCATCTTGACAGATGATTGCATTATCGAACGAAAGACTAGCACCATCCTACCTGCTAGTGCGCAGTGCCTGCATCTCAAGATATCATTGTTAGGAGCCAGTCCAAAGGCCACAATGTCCCTATTTTGCACACTTCTACGGGGAACAGTTCCCCCTACTACTGCCTTACGAGACCCTATTGGTGTAGACTGGGGACTGCGTCGTCTTCAGCACAAGTAAGGCTATACGCCCAAAACAATTTGACCCATGAGCTCAAACACTCATTATTTCTGCACAAGAACTGAATGAAGAGCCTGTCGTTCTTACAGCATGCTTCCTATGCGCTTCAGTGGTTCAGAAACACGCTTGACACTGTGGGCACTCAGCGCCGCCGAAGCTTTCTCGGAGCTTCGAGCTGACCTGTGCTCACAAAGCCACACCATAGTCCTTGTTCTCGATGCAGAGAGTGCGCGCCTGTCTGAGCAATTGCAGCAGCTGAAGAGACTACTGCAATCAGCTCAGCTCCATCTCCAGCCCGGCCAGAATCCTGCTCTGTTCCTCGTTGCAGCTGTAAGTGCAAGAATACAGAGTTGCTTTATGCTTGCGCGACTTACTCGCTCAGGATTTCCTTACACTGCGTTTATTAATAACACTGTTTACCCCAGAAATGCACCTCAGCATCCATTACTGAATCCGTGCAATGGGTTCAAGCTCCGCCAGTGTCAACATCTGAGAATGCGTTGCGTGTTACATCGCAGGGAGGGCAGGGGTGCGTTTGGGCTAAAGCGGCAGCAGAGTGCCGGCGGTTTGCAGCAGTCCATCACTGCCGTTTCCTTGAAGTGCAACCGCTGAGCACTGCGGGGACGGAGTCTCTATTGCATTTGCTCGCGTCGAGCAATTTGCGTCTTGTAGAGGCTGAAGAATGAAGCAAGCATATCAAGAACTGGACCGAGTTGCATGCAACCCCAACAGTCATGCGACTGTCGGGTTTTGCGTCGTATGAAACAGAAACTACAAAATGGAAGTGGTTCTACGATGCATCCACTTTGATTTCGCACTGTTTTACAGTCGGTGGAATCTTAGCTTAGCTCAACTCTGCTTTCTGCGAATGGAAGCGTTCAGCCTGTACATGTATATCTACTCAGTGCTGGCGTGGAGTATCTTCTATGGAGGCATGAAACACAGTTATAACGACAGTCACACCAGTACCTATAGAAAAAGGAACATTGCCTCAACGAATGTGTAAATGTAAGATGGCCCTAAGTTTCATTGTTATGTGCGCTCCGACCGCGTCACACTTTAGGGACGCCAGTAGATCTGAAGTGCAAGCAACTTGTTTCCGCCGAAGCGGATTGCTTTTAAGAGCAACAATACTGGTGTCAGATGCTGTGAAACTGTGAGTCGTTTAATCATCGCATATAAAGCGGCACTTAGACGAGTGTCAGAAGAAACTTGACGTTCGCTGTGTTTCTTCTACAGTGTGAGCAGCTAACCAGCACGAGCTCTCCATGCTGTCTGTAGGGGTAGACAACAGCATATGTAAGGCATTTTTGGTCATGCCAATCTACATGTCGTTGGTGGGCACTGCATGTATGCAAATGCCATATTCCCCATCGGAACCGCGTAGAGAATGCGCCAGTCTCTATGTAGTACTGGTTCCTACATGGAATGCTCTGAGGTTCCACAATGTGCATTAGCGCTCCTTCCACTGCCTACGTAAGAGGCGGGTGTTGTGGAGTTATAGCTGTGCTGTACTGGAAAAATCACTAGAACGCGTCCCGTAGTAGCCCCATCTTTGCAGTGTCGCCGCCAAGCCGAGTTTGCTTGGCAGGTCTGATGGCGTACCCGGTGAAAGCTCATGGACCGCAGCGCAAGCTGCAGCAAACCAATTTAGTGAGACCGTAGGGTCTAGAGCAAAGCAACCACAGCTTGAATTTTTTCTGGTTTACTGTAACTTGGAGATGCTTCCCAGATTCTAGCGGCATTAGAGGAGCATGAGAAACGCTCCTTTGCAGCCTCAAATTTACATTTGTGGCCGGAAAAGGAACGACAACTGGGTTTCGCACCATATTCTCGAAGAAACATTCACATAACGGTTGAACGTCCTTCCACTGCAACTACATTGCTGTGTCTGTTATATTTGATCAATCAGTACTGGCGGAAACACCGTCTGTGGCAACGATGCGGGCTCCTAGGAGATCTTGTCGATTAAAGATGATTGTTGGGCTTCACGGATGAACAGCGGAGAACAACTCTTCGTATTTTAGGAGAGAAAAGGGCTGAGCGTTCGACATATATTTCGGAAACGTCGCTGATTCTTTCGCCCTTATGGGGAGGCGCCATCGTGGTCAGACAGTTCCTGGTTTCGTGAAGCGCGAGCCGCAGTAGAGTCGCAGCGCGTTTGGTGAGCGTTACCAAATGTCAGCTAACATAAATTCCCAGGACTTAACTTGCCTGGGCATGGCATCACACAAGTAGAGGGCTGGTGGTGTGCCGGCGCGTGCTCTGCACCGTTGCACCACCTTCTGCACGGACGGACTACTGGCAAGGCCCCGGCATTCACTGCAACCATGCACACCCTAATTCATCTCTAGACACTGCCTTTGCATCCACTGGCTACCGTGATCACATATAGAGGTGCATGAACACACCTGCGGCAGACCCCACCACACGTGCTCTGGTGCTACCTTAACGCAATCCCTATGCAGGCAAACCCACGCCTCCTTTTGAGTAATGCACTAGCATCACCGTCAAATGTTGAGCACATCCCGAGGGTCCAGCAGCGAGCATTGCTACAATCAAAAGCGCATCGGCCTGCTACTGACAGACCCGCCTACTCTTCAATCACAGGCACCCGTCAACTGCTGCAGCAAATCCGAGTGGGAAGTGTTCTCCGGATGATGAGCACCGTGAGCTTCGAAGATAACTCCGTGCCACATTACGAAGACACACAGCTGTGCCTCAGGGGGAGCTGCGACATGCAAATGGCATTATCTCTTGCAGATGTCTTTTGGAAATGGTCTTCATTCGAGTGACGGTTGCTGGCTCGTATACTGAGCGCCACGACGGTTTCAGCAGGAGCATCATAAAACAAGAACCCGTAGACGGCATGGTAATGCGAATGGCGGGCAAACGGTTTCCCCCCAGGAGAACGCTGGAATATATATTACGTGACGGCGGCGACGGAGCTGCTGCTCCTCAACCACTAGTTGCACATAGCCTCTTCAGCTGCTGAGGGAGTTGGCCGTAACTGTCTCAAGGACACATTTGTAGATGCATCACTAATGATTGAATGGCTTCCGGAGTGGCAGGCGACATCAGAAGGTGCCGACTCAGCAAGCGCCACTTGGACAAACTCGCGAAACCTATTGTAGTAACTTTGACCCCCGACTTCCCATGTGTCGTTGTGGCCTCCGTTTTCAACGTCCTCTCGCATCTTTATGCGAGAACCGCATGTCTGTGGAACGCATAACACCCACTTCAAACGGAGAATTCAAGTGTGCTGTAAAGCTACCAGACCTACCGCTGACATGCAGGGCAAAAACAAGCTGCATCATGGGCAGAGTGCGAAGCAAAACGCGGATGGGTAAGAGGTGGCCGACGACAATTGGCCCTGATCATGTGTGAAAATGAATTATGTGAGGCCTTACGCTGTATAGCACGTCCGTGTGCGAAGGAGGAACCAGCTTGTCCTGGCGACCAGAAATGAATAAAACTGGCAGACTCAGTGTGCGAACCTTCTCATCGTTCGACATGTACATCCGCTGCAACAAACTCATGAGCACAACCTCACTTTGTTTCCCGCACGTATGTGCACAGCAGCCGCGCTGATGGCTTAGAGCCTGTGGCTAGAACACCAGCATCGAATTTAACCCCTGACACATCCCCCCAAGCGGAAGTTACGCCATAATCCACAGGCACCATCCGTCTCCAAGTAAAATATCACTCAAAAACTTCATTACCAACGCCATAAGCGAACATAACTAATACTCTACTACAATTGGGGAAAGGTGATTTAAACTGACCTGCACGGCCTTTACCAGCAGCTTGAATGGGCTCAAGAACGGGAAAACAATATAGAGCATCTCCAGCAGCGACGTGAACGTGTTCTCGACCACAATGCCCTTCAACTGAAGAAGAGCGATGTGCGCGCACAGACAGCAGAAAGAACAAGATCCGCAGTCACTGGTGTAGTGGAAGTGACTCTGCACCCACGCGGAACTGCTGTACCCACAATGCCTCGAGAAGCCGGTGATACGGCCATCATATCGATATGATCAAACGCTCTGCGCCAAAGCACACCATTACGACCATACCAACACGCCAAGAATTTCATACCTCGTCACTTCTGCGTATTGCGAGCTCTATTGCTACTGCACCCCCAATACTACGACCAAAGACGAAAACATCTTTGTTGTTGACAGTCCCATTTTCCAGGAGGAAATCCAATGCAGCTTCCGCGTCCGTATAAACACCCTCTTCTGTGGGTGAGCCTTCACTGTATCCATAACTGCAGACAAAAAGAAGCAACCCAAGAGAGCACTCGGACACACGGCTGCTATGGAAACGGCTAAAGGCCACTGGCATGCAAACTAAAGTTGCTTTATTATAAATTAGTCCACGCTCACCCTCTATATGAGACGATAAGTATATTCACTCCAACCATGCGAAACATTAGTTCCAAGTTTGGTATCCGAAATCCGATGTCTGCACGCATATTGAACTACCAGAGAAGCCGAATATTCGGAATACGCGAAATATGTCATGCGTGCACTTATGCACTGATAAGAAACGGGTTATGACCTCCACAATATGGAGAAATCATTTCTGTGATATTGGGGCACCAACCATTCTACAAAAAGCATTTCTGGTGCCAACGCATCTTTGCTACCGGTAGAATAAGAACACAACAAGATGCGGTGCCCGTGAGTCATGAGGGGCACATGTTACCGATATAGGCATTGATTAGCCTACTGCCAGCATTCCCGTGAAAGTAGAGGAAGGTAGGTGCCTTTAGAGCATTTGGCTGACGTAAAAGCCAACCATGCAGAGTCAATCCATCACTAGTTCCGATGTAGACATCATCAAACGGCAAATCTGCAACAACCACAAATAAGACCTATAACACCAGATCTGGAGACACTGAAGCGGAATCTCCAGATTTCGCCTACCGGGAAGAATCAGTCCAGCTCACTTCGTTCTCCGGGGTGGTGCAATCCCTTCGGGTTCTTATCGGGCGTCTCATAGCCTTTAGGAACTGCACACAGGCACAAACGGCGTCTCGAACAAAACTTGAAATACCTAGCTCACTAAAGTGAGTATTGCCGAAAAGATCTTGATGGTGGTAGTAGCAATGTTTATGCCAATTGAAGCGTAGTGCAATGGGACTGCAGTTTGAATACCTGCAGGGTAGAAGACAAGTTTCTCTTGGAAGAACCACAGCACGCCTGAATGCATATACCATTCGCAAGGATACCGACATCGCCTACCCACCGCGACGATAAGGAGGTCGAGGAATGTTGCTATACAGACGGACAGTCTTTGCAGCTGGAGGAACGATGGCGACACCATGCGAAGCTCACCAACAACAGCCGACAGCAGGAAGCCGCCGACCCACGCCGCCCGGGTGAGGATGGCGGCCAGGCTCCACCAGGGGGACATCTGAGGTTCTTCTACTTGAACACGCGCACCCGCCTGACTGATATTTCCTGCAGCATACCGTTTCTTTTTGTCTTCTTAACGTCCTTCACCGCCGTCCCCGCTAACCAGATGGATGCCACAGGACGGCACCGAGGCCCCGCCGCTGTGTTATTCCAGGCTTCTGATTTCCTCTATGGGTGGTACAGTTGATTCTTCAGGTTGAGCAAAAATTAATACGACCCTTATGACGGGGGTCAGAGGTGTAATGATAGTGCATGTGTCACGCCAGCGTTGCTGGAAAAAACGGGAACCTGTCAGTTCCGAGGCAGCCTTACACCTACCACACTCCTGTCGGAGCACATATGAATAGATGTAGAGTGGCTCATGCGAACTTAAAACAGCCGCCTGTGTGCCTGGACCTAGGAAACTTCAAACGATGACATGGCGTCGCATAATTGCTCCGCTGAACTCGTTGGGCTCTGTAGCCATCAGCGAATTAAACAGATGGCCAAGCATAACACAAAATAGTAAATAATTCGCACTGTTGAAGTTTCCTCAAGTTCGCTCTGCTAGGGAAGCCAAGTAGCGGCCGCTGCCCCATGTCCCCTTCAGTGTAGTGCACAGGCACAACAATGTGGCTCTGGTGTGATCTCTAGTAGCTCAGTGACCATTAAGAGAAGGATTATGACACTAGCAGCTAAGAAAGGGAATTAATACCGCTAAATGTTATAAGAATCGAGTACCGTAGGTGGAGCCATAGGTTATCAGAATTAACCCCGCCTGCGGCCCTATCGGCAGTGTTGCGTACTACGTAGTTACTACTTGGGTACCAGGTAGGCTCTTTTAGATATCTAATTGGAAAGAAATAGAATTATTACTAGTATTATGTCTGTAAATACGACTTTGGCGGAAAGCAGTTATAGGTCAGGCTCCTGACTGTGTCGTCAAGGTTGATATCCCCCCGTCATCCTATATGTTGGGCGCTGACACCCAGCCATGACCGGGGTCAATTCAGAACACAGTTCTGTTATTCTGGGAACTTCCCTTATTGATAGTAGACACTCGAACTTGATCTGGAATTTTAAGTATTGACCTCTGGGAATTTGGGTAGTTAGAGGATGCAGTTAGGAAGCCAGACGCTATGAGACGATAAGTAGGCAGAGCTTAGGATGGCTACGCACTACATTTGGTGGCTGTTCCAACCCAGTAACCTCTTCGCTATAGTGGAACCTACAATAACACTCAGCTGCAGCACAACCGAAGCGCCACGGTATAAGTTTATCACACGGATGCTATCTCCCAACCACCGGCTGAACAGACCACAGCAGAGGCGGCGTGGGCCAGCCGGCGATCTAGAGAAGTGGAGAGTGGAAACGGCAACGGCGGGGAATCCGTTAGTAGAGGCTACGCGGGTGGAGAGACCCGACGTAAGTTATGCATATGAGTATACAGGGGTTCTGCGCGGAGTGGCGCCAGAACTTCGTGCCATTCCAGTTTCCCCGAGGTGGGGAAAGACGCTGAAGCGTGAGAGAAGATCCGCGAAGAAGGGGTTGCTGACTATGAGGAGGCCCCATAGAGGATTGGCGTGCAGCCTGATGCAGAGTCCATTAGGGACGAAGTCGAGGGTATGCTGCAAGCAGGCGAGGAGTTCTGAGAAGTGGCGGGAGAGCCCCGTAACCCGATTGACCAGCTTGCAATGACGCCATGGTGGCGAGAGGCTGGTGAGGCCGCAGAGTCTGATAGGTGTGCAGTATGGTGCGGTGTGGGCACTACCACATTTCTAAGTGTAGATGTGGCTGGGAGCCAATGCGGGGCGTCCTTGGACACGGATGCCTCTAAGAGTTTCATTGGTCAAGAGAAAGTTGATCATTTGCAACTGAAGGCGAGCCGACCTTCAGAAGCGTGTATGTTTATGGAGGTCCCTGGCGATCAGATGCGCAATGATCGGGTGGTCATGAGATCGACGACGTGGGGTGGACGAAAGCGTTCCACAGCCTCCCCAGTGTGAACATCACAGCCACTGATTACACGGCATAGTAGCACTGTCCTATCTATCTTAATACTTCGTGGCAATAATGTTGTTGCACTTGCTGGATTCAAGAGGTTCATAATCGACGAAATACTTGAATTAGCACTTTGAACGCCTACGCCGTGACAAACAGCCACGGAAAAGGACGTTGGCGGATGAGCGATGGTGCTTGCAGGAACCCTCCGACCAAACCAGCTGCATGCTTTGTTTATTCTGAGCATATTGGTTGGCAGAGCTCGTTGGTGATGCGGATTTTGCGTAGACATCAATTCAGCTCATTAGACATGAGTTGGAACGCTGGCGTTTTAGGCGGGTCTGTCAGTAGCAGGCCTTGTTAACGTCGTCAAATTTATTGACAACGATGGCGGCTAACCTCGATATTGCCGTCTTGGAAGTGGGAATGGCGGAGCGAGCGACATCCCCAGCTCGAGAAGTATGGGTATTGGGGATCAGGAGATGCCTCTCTGAGTAAGCTCGCGCATTCCTGCTCGGTTGAAAGTGTCTCATGTGGATTTTTTGACGTTACTGTCCATATATTTCTTCCTATGCCCCGAAAGTTATGGCCCCTTCGTGGGTGCAAGTACGTGGGACTAGGTTGCGTCGGAATCCATGTGGCGTCGGGGCCCACCGCATAACACTGGCGAAACATTAGTGAAACGTCAATACCTGTACAATTTGCAGTGTGGCGTCAGCTGAACATCGGTTAGGTTTTACGGGAGCGGTTTCAAGACCGCTGGGCGGGTGAGTAGACAGTTGAGACGTAGGGAGTGCTCATGACGACACTAGAATAATCCTGAGATCTAAACAGTCGGTAGAAAGGAAGTCTGTCAAGTGGATGAAATCTCTATACCGATGTTATTCGATTTCACCATCCTGACTGCATGCTGAACTATAAGGCCTGGCGAATGGTCCAGCCCCTGAGGCTGCTAACCGGTGCGGGGACGATATCTCTACTACTCTTTAAAAGGCAGACTTCCCTCGTCATTTTCGCTTTAAGTAGCAATAGAAACTGAACATGCTGCAACTTTGGCTTAGGAAAGGGCCGGTATCTTGCGGTCATTCGAAACGAAAGCCGACGCCAGCCCGGGCAACAGACTGGCCAATAGGAAGCACTGGGTTTCTCTGCGGACACTGCTCTTCACGCCTTTAATGAAATTTCAGGGGTTTTTTTAGTTTTATTTAATCTTTCGGGTGTCTTTGGGGATTGGGTGGGGAGGAAGCCCGCCATGTTTTCTGCACGCCAGCAGCGGCCTCACGACTGCTGACGGGGATTGGGAAGCAGCAGGAGAAAATCACTGAAATATACCCGTTATTACTTCCCTCTTGTTCTTTTAAGGTCAAGATGGACTCAAACGACTCACCCCTAGTGGGCCGGTTTCTCAAGGGAGGCGGTGTAATGCAACAGTATGCAGGTAGGTTCCTTAGTGTGCCCCTTACATTATGGGGAGAGGAATTTACGGCACACATGGATACCATGCCTTTGTTTTGATAGTTTTTGCCCCATAATATCAGTTTTTGGTTGGAGTTTCTGTTTCGTTTTCAGAGGCGTTCCGGCGTACGACTACAAGAATCAAGGTCGACCCTCAAGCTGCAGCTGGTGGGATGAGGCTTGGACTCCTGTACACTCGAGCTCATGTATTGCTTGCTTATGCACCCATTCTACATCCCTTGCCCCAATCCACCTATCAATGTTGAAATGGATCCGGGTTTAGAAACTTGACCAGCCTATCACAGACATATTCCGTGCGTTGCAGCAACAATGCCACACGAGAGTTCCACCGTACACAATAACTTCGGTATGGGTGACTCTAACCACTTGCTACAGGGGCGTTTTCAGCAGCCCACGAAATTCGACCGCCTGCGAGACCTCAGCTTGCTCACAGGTTAGTACTCCCTCGGCCTATATCCCTGGATTAAAGTAAACCATGCTAAGTAAGAACTAAACCAAAACGTGCACCCCAATAAGAACGATAATCATATCAATGCTGTGTGTGTTGGCGTGTAGAGAGAGATGAAGCTGAGATGTTTCCTCCTCTCCGCCAGGAGATAACGTGTACACTAACTACCCCACCAGCTACGCAAGAGACAGAACCTGAATTATGGCACCCAACGAATCCGTCCACAATCGCGTGGGTTTTCTAATAAAATGAACATGATTTTACTCTGATATTTAGTTCTTCATTCACTGTTTATTGCAGCCTTTTTAATGGTTTAGGACACCAGCTGTGTTTTTCTGCGTTGTGTCCCACTTGCTGAGCCCCCCCACTAGCTTCTTTCCATGCACTTCTTGGTGCGCTTTTGCAGCGCCAGAGAGCTGCCAGCTGTGGAGACATTCCTGGGGGGTGATACCTTGCCAAGACAGTTAATCTCCCGGTTGAACCCAAGCGACACACGCCTGCTTGCTGGAGAAACAGAGCAGCTCACAGCTCCGTACGTACGAGTGGAGGGAACATCTGAGAAGTACCGCTTTTTTCCAGCATCCGAAGAATTACCTTCATCCGGACTCTGGCATGATCCTCCCTTATTTAGCGACGCTGGAAAGGGCCAAACAGCTTTAAGGTTTAGGCCAAAGGAACCCGCGGAAATTCCTTCACACAGCAGCAGAGCTTCGCTGCCGCCAGATCCTTCGGGGCTTCCGATGATCCCTCCTCGCCCTCTTTCATTGTCTGAGCAGCAAGTCAAGTCAGCACCACGAGCAGCCATGCAGTACGCTGCAGAGGATATCTCTGTATATCCAGGCGGCATTTCAATGGAGAACGTAGTAGATATCCAGGAAAAAGCCCTTTTTAAATCGTTCGAGCAGCTCTCTCAAGATTCCGTCGTGGAGAACCTCATGCTGGACGCGGTGAGACCAGGGTTTAAACGCGGGGTGATACAGCAGCTCCAGCAGCCTACCAACATGCAATGGGTGGAGCAGCGGCGGGCTGTATACATGAAAACAAAGCAGGCAGGTGAAAGCCAAATAGGGTCGGCTGAAACATCTGCGAACACGAAAAAGGAGGCAGCAACGAGTGGCAAGAAGGTAACGTTCAGTCTGCCGAACACGTCTTCACAGCAGCAGACCGATTACAGTCAGCTGAAGCAAGCTGATGGTCAGCTGGAACAAATAACGGGACATCTCCGGACCATCCAACGTGCCAACCAGCTTCATGGGGCTCAGGGGGAAGCACGCGTTAGCCATGTGCCTGTGGGCACAGCATCTGATGCACCGTCAAAGGGTACAGATGCGTCTTTAGGCGACACTTTCGTGAACGAGCTAGTGTCGCGATGCTCTTTAAAGCTGAGAACTATAAGTAGCGGCATGACGTTTTCTTCAGTCGAACCCAAGCCTAGGAACTCGGCTGTTGCGGCTAAGGAGATGACGCGCCCCTCACGCCTGTTAAGAGACATCGAGGCAGTCGAAGCCCGGAGGAACCAGAGGGACGGGAAAAAACCAGTGGTTGATGGACTTCATCCGCAACCGCATCACGAGGATACCACTCTCTATCTGCCGCAGCCGACGGAAGAGTCGATCTCCCTTAGATGCTCAAAAGGCCTGCAGGGACTACGCGCGCTTAGGGGAAGACTCAACATTCGCGCCCCTCAATCCATGCCAAAAGCAGATCTTGTTTGTCTCTCAAAGTCCCTTTTGCCCGCGTCTGTAGAAGTTGATGAGGAGTCTTTCATAAGTGAAGAAGAAGCTGCTGAACACATTCATGAGACGGTTACTGATTCGATTGGTAAACCGTCGTACGAGGTCTATCACAACACGCCAACACCACCAGAGGACCTGGTCGACGCAACCCCCAGCTTGGAGGAGCTGGCACGAAACTTCGTGCCTACCACGGGCTACCCACACGATGCAAACAACAATAACTACCCTGCTGCGATTCCTGCTTTCGTATCCCGCCTATCAAAATCTCAAGACAGCCGAATGTCAGTTCCTCCTGCGTCAGCAGTGCTGTATGCTATCCCAAAGGGGTCGGAGGCGTGTTCAATAGTCGAAGCCATGCCTACAGATCCACGATCGGGGGCCTCTCAAATCACGGAAGCGGCGCTTGCAAATATGAGCGCTAAGGAAATTAGGAACGTTGAAGAGCTTGTGGCCGGTGGTTTTGTTGCACTTCAGCGCCAGACACACAAGATAGACTACAGGAATCCATGGGAAGACGAGAAGCTGCACTTCAAGATGATCGTTAATGAACCTATACATGCCAGAGACCCGCAATTCGCGGAACGACAGAGCCAACTCTTAAGCAAATGGAAGTATCCGGCAAACGAGATATCACCCGGTTATTACATTAAAGAGGCAAGCCTGGAGGATGTCCGGCAGGCGATCCTCGCGAACAAAGAGCAGCGTTCCATATTTGACCTCCAAAGTAAGTGCCATCACTTTTGTGAGTTAGAAAATGAATCACAGGGCTGCTCGTTGCTTCTAAGGTGCTTGGAAAATAGTGCATAGAAGGGAAGTGGCGGTGGGTTCACATATGAACATTAAATGCTTGTACTGTACTTGGCAGAGGCGCTTAAGGAGGCGAAGGAGCGTGAAGAAGAAGAACTTCGAAGGCGTCGCGAAGCCGAGGATGCAGAGATTGCAAAGCGTCTACGAGAAGGCCGTGAGCGGGAACTGGCAGCTGCGGCCAATCTAGAACAACAGAAACCACAGACTGAGGAGCCGCCTGCCGAACCGGCAGGAACTGCTGAGAACACACAAGATAACCCTCCAGAAGCTCTTCAGCAGGCACTTAGTGTTGAACAGCTTAAGAAGGCTTACCGGGAGCTCAGGAAGCGGTCGAATCCAGAAGATATAGAAGAGATGAAACGCATCAAGAAGCAGATAGCGGAGCTCACAGGACGCAAGAAGAAGGATGCTCATGTGCAAACGGTATGGATGCTTTGCTTTTCTGTATCTTAGAGCCTCTTTGAGAGAAAAAACGCTGCTCGCGAAACCTTTTCTGTTCATCAAAAGCCACTGACACATCCTGTAACCGGAACAGCTCTTCACAGAAAGCGTTATGTGGAAAATCGTGCTGACTGGCTCTCAGGGACGTCGAGCGGCAATAGCCCCTCCACCGGAGACTGACCTGAAAGCCAGGAAAACGGACGAGTATGCAGAAGACGAAGAGCGAACAGAGGGCGTCAGGGAAATGATAACAACGGAACGCGGGGGTGAAGCAGGGATGCTGGGAAAGACCACGACGGGAGACGACGAAGCCCACTCAGATGATGAAGAGGAAAGTCCGGGAGAGGAGGACGAAGAGGATGGTGTAGGGAAAAAGGATCAAGGGGTGGACGACGAGGCAGAGAGCGCACTAAGCAGTTTTGATGATACGATCTCGTCGCTTTCAGTGAGCAGCTACGAGTCAACAGAACATCCCGTGTTTCAGCGATCCGAGTATTCTGCCTTGGAGTATCAGTCAGTAACTGACTCTTTGGAAGAATGGATGAAGCTCCCAGTGGACTACTGTGGCCGGATGTATTTGGAGCCCCCCCAAGCATCTACTATGCGTCCCCGCAAATTTGGCACTCGTGGACTGCCAGCGATGCGAAGTAGAGCTAGTGTGGTGGCGGACCAAATTCGAATGTTCGTCATGCTGGAGGCAAGAGGGCCCGTAATTCTGGTGTATTGCTCACCGAAAGATGCCCCGCAGAAAAGGAAATTCAAATTCGCTGCTCTTTGTGGCAAGACAGTTGAACCTGAGGATGGCCACTCTCCACAGCAGTGGAAATACATGTGTGCATTCGTACTGGATAACACAGGAGAAGTACAGAGCGTCGATATGATGAACGGTGGTTCGGGAGCCCCGTACAAAGCCATAAAAGTAAACGCTCGCATTGTACAGGAAGCTGCAGCCCTTCCCTCAGAGGCAGATTTAGCATCGTTCACAAGGGACCAACTCGTCTTGCGTGAAAAAGCGTATTTTAGCGGAGTCCTCAGTGCAGATACGGAAGTTGAAACGGCGGAATGGTTAGATGTATTTAATGGACGCAAGACATTCTTTCGCTATCTCTCTGCATGCACCGACGCATGTACGACACCCATGCTGCCAATTGTGGCTAGTCTGTTCAGTCCTGGTCCAAGGGAAATCGTGCTTCACGGTGTACAATACCACAAGGCGGTAGACAAGGCTATTTTTTCCTCATTGAAGCTGCCCTATTTGGATTCCTTGTGCTGCGGGTGGAGAGGCATGGATGCAGAAGGATTAGCAACGTTCTTGCAATGTGTTCCGTGCAAGGTTAGAACGTTGGACCTCACGGCGAACTTGTTTGGCACCACCGTGCTGGCATGTCTGGGTGGCTTCTGCAACAGGCTAAGAATTTCGCACCTCTGCCTTGCGGAAAACAACATTGCCGGGGATTCACAAGCAGCCACGGGCATCGCAAATCTCATGGCAGACCCGGATCCTCCATTTCTGGACTTGAGGCGCACAGCTATTGTGGACGAGGACTGTGAAAACATCGCCAGAGAGCTGGAGAACGTCAAGCAACCCGGCGTGGTGCCCAAAACAGTCAATTTTGGAGAAAATGACATATCCGTTGTGGGACTTAAAGCCGTTGCTGCCGCTGTGGCTAAAACACTTCCCCGATTCAAGGTTCTATGCCTCCCCAACATCCCAGCACTTGGCACGGAGGCACTACAAGATGTCCTCAGAGAAGTGCCACAGATGCGGCAGGCTCAGCTTTCCAGAGAGCAGCCCAACTTTCCTTTCCGTTCACTGAATGCAATGGAACTGCCAGAAAGGTGTCTGTCGTTGCCTGCCGTATTCAGTGGCAGGCTGTTTGTCGAAATGGAAAAGCCTTCCTCGAACTCCCCCCGGAAGGTCTCAACCAATTGCCTTTTCTTGGCATTCTTCGAGCTTAGAGGCCCAGCACTTCTGCGCTATTCCACTCCGCCTAGACCCTATCGTCTGGGTGGCACCACAAGCAAACGTTCACCCGGAATGCCTCTCGGGTCACTTGCTCGTTCGTTCGGTGACGGACTGGAGGGTATCTTTATAACATCCATTTCGCTAGCGGGTTCAAGGCTTACTGTGACTGGAAAGAAGATTTTGTCCAGTGACTTAGTTTCGAGGGATAGTTCTGAAACTTGGGTGCTCCAGGCAGATTCCGAAGATTATATACGGGAATGGTTTAGAGTGCTCAAAATCAGGTGAGCTCCTTTTGCGTGAGCATTTTGTAGATCGCTTGCAACCGGTACATTAGCTGTTTCGCCTTCTGCTGTTTGGCAGCGAAACAACGCTGCTGGAAGTTCTACAGTAGCTTGAACAATTAAGGGAGTAGCAAGGCCGTGGCTTGAAAACTGGTATGGCCAGGTCTGAAACCTTTGACACGCAATGTACCTATATCTGTGTGTTTCAGGCAAGCTGGAGTAGCGTGTGACAGCATTGGGAGAAGCTCCAATGAGGCACTCCATCCCGGAGTGGGCCAGTACTGCACCAGCTGCTTCAGAAGGAGCCTTGAGCTGGGAGGTCGCCGGTTGCCCCCAGGACAGTTTCAACGCCTGTTTACGGCGGTTTCGACAGATCATCGTCTCAAGAGTGTGGATATGAGCAATATGGAGTTGGACGTTGAGGCTTTGGAACGCTTCCCAGAAAATGCATTCCGCAAAAGTGAACTCAATCTCTTAGATTTGTCCTTCAACTCTATCACGCCTCAAGGTGACATGTCCAATGTATTCGCGTTCTGTGGCAGCGCAAAAAATTGTGCAAAATTCGTGCTGGATGGAAACCCTCTAGGCAATACTGAAGCGGCCGCTGGTTTTGTGTTCAAGCTTCTTGAGTGCCGAATTCAGAATTTGTGTCTTAATGCATGCGGCCTTGGAGATACGTTTGCTGAAGCTTTGGCCAAGCAGATAACAAATGAGCCGAAACGTTTCCCTTTTATCACGGCTTTGGAGCTCCAAACGACCTCAATATCGGTGGATTGCATGAAGAATTTGCTGGACGCCTTGATAAACCGCTGTCCTGGCTTGTCGAAGGTCAGCCTTTACGGCAACGGATTTGATAATATTGGGCCATTCAGTCGCCGCCTAACAATCGACTATACGAAGACCCACCGCGACACGCCTACTCGAAAGGTCGGGTATATCCGCCGCGTGGCTAAGAAGGAGAATACCGCCCTTCAACGTAACCAAAGGGTAACTCCAGCTTCAGGGACATCATTTCCCGCAGCTTCGCAACCGGGAGCGGCAATAGATTCTTCTCTTCCCCACGCTAAAGCCTCAACGATGACCAGTCACGTCCCCACCCCAGAATCGCCTGCTTAAGATCTAAAGTAGCTCCACCACTATCGGGTTCCCTTGTGAAAACTAGAGGCATATTGGATGCCTGCCACAAATTGTTCTGTTTGTGTTGTTGCTGGAGCGTTTTAATGAGTTTTCGAGGACCGCAGGTGTTGCCTGCACGCACGCGACTTTGGTGTGATAAGCATCGCAAGCTTCTAAAGTTGCTGCAAATTGTTGATTGTGGGAAGCAAGTGTCCTTTGGTATACAAACCAATGTGCCTTTTTGGTTTTGCAAACATCATTCGGAGCATGGGGCTGTGCAGTCAGCTGGACCTCGAGTGCGCAGTGCGCAATGATGCCAATTAGTGGCATCCTGTGTGTGCCACGATGTCTCCTGAACTACCGAATGCGTCTGCGTTTTGTAGGTAAGGGTTTTCCCGAACTTGGAACTGTGCACACACTATCCTGGCATTTTGGTGCCTTTCCCTGCACTTTCCCCAAGGATGCATATGCTTCTCTCCTGAAGGAGTAAATATGGATCATGCGGACACCCTTACACTGCATACGTTTCCAGTAGCTTTAAGTGTAAAACTTTGATAAGTGTTAATATGAGCAATATGAATTCGGTGCTGGCGCTAGTGTGGAGATTGGACACACGACCACTCCAAAAGAATCGCTATCGCTGGTATGTTGTTGTTGGCAATCAGCACTATGAACAAGCTTCGGGTATGCATTGTATATAAATTTGATGACACAGGCATGCTCCGTTGTTTCTCTTGATGAGTTGGAGAGGAGGATCATTTGATGGCGTGCCGATCACACAACGGACGTGCCACATTCTTTGAGGGCATTTTCGGCCTCAATAATTAGTCAGCGGCTGGCTAATGGAAGGGGAGTCACATACGGCAAGGGAAATGCAACGAAGTTCTGTTCCTCAGTTTAGCAGGCTTTCGCGTGTAACCTTCCCGTTGAGGCAATTCAAATATCCAGCAGCTTCCGTACACGCGTAGTGTGGTTGACGCAGTGTCATTAGCGGTGGTTGAGTTCCCGTTTTAGTTTTTTCCGTTGAGTTTCGACTGAAAGGCCTTTGCTGAGACTAGTGGGGTGAGTAACGCTCTCCCGAGCAACAGTGGCAGCTAAACCACAGAATACGCTGAGCGGTGCTTCCCAATCTCGTCACCAGGATGTCTATATGACCTATATATACTGGTAAAAGTAAAATCGATAGTAAACTAATGTGAATGTCATGTAATTGCTCATCCTTTGGGTAAGTTCAGCCTGAGCGTTGGAATGCGGTGTGTCTCTGGTGGGTGTGCCACTCACCAAGAGCGCCACTGTATAGGTTTCCACTGTTAAAATGTTTCGGGATAAGTAAATACTTAGGTGGAAATCATAAATGTCGTTTTGAAAACACTAGATGTGTCGTAATAGACCTCGGGCGGAGCAAGGCAAGGAGCGGCTGCTTATAGGCGCGGTCACCTTCCGCGCTCTCCCCCGGCACAGTCACCTCTCGGCGGCAGCGGACTGGAAGTGAACAACTAGCGAGTTCCATTTTTCTCCGGAGAAGCGCAATTGCCTTTAGACTTTGTTGACAGGTATAATATCAGGATTTGTAACGGATTTCCCTCCCCGTGTTCACGCAAACGATGACCCGCCTTATGTTGGCGGCGCTCGCCGCCTCCGCGGCGGTTTTCTCAGCTGAGATGGTTTCCGGTGCCTTCATGCATCCTGTTCACAATGGAAAGAAAACCCCAGTGTACTCCAAGTCCAAAGCCCCGCCTCCTCCGCAAGAAATCTGCCAGACAATTCCAGTTCAAGTGGACTCCGTTTGCTTCGAAAATGTCCCTTTTAAGGAGGCATACGTTTGTCCCCAGGTCGTTGAGAAGCAGGTGTGTGAAAAGGTACCCGTGGAGATTGCTGACACCTGCTACAAGCCCATTACTGCCTTGGAGGCTTACGACTGCAAAAAGGAGGTGAAGAAGGAGGAGTGCAAAATGGTGCCTAAACAGTGCTTCAAGACCATCACGGAGCATGAAGAGTATGGCTGCGAGGAGGAACAGTGTGAGACTGTCGTAAAGAAGGTACCCCAGACTTGCTTTAAAAAGAAAAACTCCAAGGAGAACTACCCCTGCATGAAACACAAGAAGCAGAAGGTTTGCCAGGAGATGCCACAAGAATATGAGAGCACCTGTTTCCGCGAGGAAAGCCACCAAGAGCTTGTGCCCTGCAAACCCAAAGAGGAAAGCGGTGCTGTGAGCTTTGAGGAGAAGTGCACAATGGTGATGCAGGAGGTCGAATCCACTTGCGAGAGACAGGTAATGGCTCAGCAAGAGTACCCTTGCACGAAAAGGGAAAAACGCAGGGACTGCGAAGTTGTGCCTCAGAAGGTAACAGAAATGTGTGAGGAAATAGTGGAGGAACAGAAGCCTTACAAATGCAAGAAGAAACAGATGACTCAGAAATGCAAGATGGAGAATGTCAGTGTTCCAACGATGTGCGAGAAGAAAAAGGGTGAAAAAACGGAATACTACGAGTGTGAGAAGAAGATGAAGCAGGAGGTATGCAAAGATGTGGAAGAGAACGTCGAGTCAGTATGCTATCAGCTTGTCTCCTCCAAGCAGCAGGTTCCCTGCAAGAAGAAGAAAATGGGAGAAGTCTGCGTGGACAGGGAAGTTGAGGTGCCCAGTACTTGCCTCCGTGATGTTCCCGTAATGGAGCCGTATCCATGTATGAAGAGTGTAGAGGCACCTAAATGCATCAAGATACCTATGTGCCCCAGAATCCACACGCAGAAGAAGGCGTACCCTTGCATGGAAACAAAAATGAAACAGGAATGCCACATTGAAGAAGTTCCCTATGAGGATACTTGCTCCCGACAGTTCACTGAGGAACAGCCATACGACTGCAGCAAGGAAGTCAAGTCTAAAGAATGCAAAATGGTGCCTAAAGTATGTAAGAGGAAGGTTTCGCGTGACGTCGCGTTTGAATGCAACGAGAAGGTCTGTGAGAAGGTGTCTCAGCCACAGCTCTGCTACAAGAAAGTTAAAGGCAAGGAGGCATACCCATGCACGCGTACTGAATACAAAGAACAGTGCCACATGAAGCAACAGGTCCTCAGCAAGACGTGCTACAGCCAGGGAATGAAACCCCAGCAGTATCCTTGCAAGGAAACGAAGTATGAGACCATCTGCAAGCAGGTGCCTTCGAAGGCTCCTGTAGTGATGATCCCAACCCCTGTGAAGGAGAAGAAGGAGAAGAAGGTCAAGAAATTCTAAATCAATCTATGCTTGATACGCATGCGTTTTAAGCTGCACAGCCATCTGAGCTTGCCGTCTATCTGTCTGCGTTCCCTCCATTTCCTCCCCTTTGGCAGGAACCGCCAAGGGTCTATGCTGCTGTACCCTCCAGGACAATCCCTTAACCTTCTGCCTCTACGTTTCTCCGTTTCCGTGACTTCACTTTGGGTGTCAGCAGCAGTGCATAAACTCTGTATACGTTTCTACGAAGACTGGCGAGCTGAACTAGCAGATTTATGTGCCACTTAGAGCACTGTTCACTGCTTAAATTGGGGCAGATTAAATGCAACACAGCCGCATATGATGGGCAGATCGACAACAGTTAAGGCTTCCACTTGAACTGCTCATATTCATAGCAGTCTGTTTGCTGTAATGCAGGCAGAAATACCGGAATGCCAAAACCGAAGTGCAAATAGGTAGAAAGAGAAACGCTGTCCCCAGCATTCATTTCGTTCGTAAGACTGTATACTAGCAACCATAACAGCCTATACCATGCCAATATACTTCCATACGAATCGTAGACTGAGGGACGCATAAACCCGAGCAGAGCAATGGATGTCTCAATGAAGGGAAAATCACCCGGGAGAAGGCGCACGCTGCTACGGCGTGCTTTCGCCTGGATATGTCTCAACCATCATGTACCACTACCGACCTCTTGCCACGCACATGAGTGGAAAAATCTCCCGGGAGAAGACGCACGTTGATACGGCGTGCTTTCACCTGGATATGTCTCAACCTTAATGTACCACTACCGACCTCCTACCACGCATATGAGTACATACATGGCCTTGGCAATCTCTCCTTTGTTCTGACTATGTAGCACTCTCCCGTAATTGCGTGTCTCCTCTGAGCTGTCCGGTATGTCAATCTGTCTGGCGTTAGACCACGTTGTGTTCTTCCTCATGGGACTCTTCCTTATGCGATTCCTCCTCATGCGACTCTTTCTTGTGTGACCGCACTTTGTGTGAGCCATTTCCTTTTGCTTTCTCATTCTCCTCTCCTTTCTTTTCTCCCTCATGCTCTTTCTGTGCATGCTCCTTATTCGCATCCTCTTTCTCGGAATCCTCTTTCTTTGCACCCTCTTTCTGTGTATGCTTTTGATGCTCTTTCTTTTCATCTTCTTCCTTTTCTTCCTGCTCCTTTGCTACTTTATTCTTTATGTGTTTTTTCGCCAGTTCTTCTCTGCGGGCTTGTTCATTTTTAGCATCCAATGCCTCCTGTCTGTTTGCCACCTTTTCGGCGTGTTCCCTTTTAGAGTCCTGTCTCTGCGCCAAGAATCCGCTGCTGTCGTTCGTTTCTTCCAAGGAACCAGCATTATTCTCTGCATGCTTTAGATCATCTTCAATCTCGCCGCTGTGTTCATCTTCTATCCCCATGCCTTCAGCAACTGCTGACTCCTCAGATGTGGTTGAACCTTCCCCGGTGTTTTCGAACCAAGTGTTGCTTGAAGGAGCCTGATTCGAAAGTCCTTGTTCGTCTTGTGTCATGTAGCTGAACAAATTATTCGACGAGTCTTCTGATTCTCCAGCTTCTCCCGTTGATGCTTCCCCAGATGATACTTCGCCACTAGGCATTTCAGCGCCAGGGGCTGCGCCAGGAAAGCTACCGTGTAGACTTCCCATGGGCACAGATGGGTATTGGTGCGCGGGCCCAAAATTAGACCAGTGCGAGGCAGAATTAAAGTCCACAGGCCGGTGTCCGGGGCCTCCGCCAACAGGCGCCATGGGTGGGCGAGGCCTACCCCCAGCGCCAGCCATGATTACAGGGCCTGGGCCCCCAGGCCTGCCCCCAGGCCTACCCCCAGCGCCAGCCATGATTACAGGTCCGGGTCCCCCGCCTGGAATGAAACCGCCTGGTCCTCTCCCCCCACCACCAAACCCTCCCATACCATGACCACCAAAGCCGTGGGCATGCATCCCGGGGCCAAAACCCCTCCCTGGGCCGTAAGGGATGGGGCCACGTCCTGGGCCAAAGCCGCGGCCGCCGCCTAAGGGATATGGGCCAGGTCTGTATGCCCCTAAGGCCTCTTGCGACAGGTTTGTGAGTCCAAAGAAGCAAAGGAGGGCTGCAATCGCCATGGTTGTGGCCACTGCACCGAAGGGCTTCAACATTCCGATATACCCCCTCTCATTCAATGCGCTGCACCGACTCATCTTCGGAGCAGAAGACCCGATTGGCCTGAGCAAAAGAGGAGACAGCAATAATACAATGCATACAGGTACATTATATATCCCTGCATGCACGCCAATACACCCACCTATCCACACCCACCCACTATCGCACCGACACACATATACATACATTCATATACATGCATACGTGCACATATATGCACATACATGCGTATACGGACATACATATACAGAGATATGCATACATATACAGACATATGCATACATATACATACATATACATTACATACATATACATACATATGCATACATATACATACATATGCATACATATACATACATATGCATACATATACATACATATACATACATATACATACATATACATACATATGCATACATACATACATATGCATACATACATACATATGCATACATACATACATATGCATACATACATGCATATGCATACATACATACATACATACATACATACCTACACACACACGCCCACACACCCACACTTTAGATTTAGATACATTCGTCCAGCGGAAAAAGGGTCAGCTGGCGAGGGAAGGCCTGACAGTTCTTGCAACTCTCAACATGAACAAATAAGATTACTCCACCCGTTTGGAAAGAAGAGCTTACTAGTAGCTAAAAATCGAAATTTCCCTTGGTGGCCCACTGCTGACTGTGGTGCTCGTGGGAGTGACCTTGTTGGCACTTCTCAAAACGCAGCGGAGTTATGAAAGTGAAGCGCGCAAACAGGAAAAGCTATAGTTAATCGGCACAGTTATTACTATTGAACAAAGAAGGAGTGAAAGATCCACCGCACACAGAAAAGGATAGCTGACAGCCAAAAGCCGCACCCAGCGAAGGCTGATAGCGCTAGACGGACCAGCGGGCGCCTCGGCTGCTCATCGCCGAGGCAGCAATACCCCAACACAGAAGGCAAGTTAATTTTTATTATTACCGATAAACCAGCGTTTACGCATGCTAATCATTCGGTAAATTGAAGTTTCCACACTACTTATTTAGAACGCAAGCGGCCCTAAGGCGCAACTCTGCACCGATTGCGGCGTTAGCCAGAGTCAGTAGAAGTGGTTGCCGTTTCCCCAAGTTGAAACCGGTAACAGTGAAGTCAAGAAAGAAAAAAATTGATTTTTGGATATACCACTTCGAAGGAAGGGGCACTTAAGGCTCACCTGACTGAGGATACAATCGATGGCCTTGGGTGACCCTGGTCATCGAGCCTGCAGGTAAGCAGTGGCCAGTCAGGCTCCTTTTAAGGCAAGAATCAAGCATGTTCAATGGTCACGGAGACAGCAAATAAACTGGCTACCCACATATTGTGGAGCTCCCACGATTTGCTTTAGGATGATCCAACGATACGTTCGATGCCCCTAGATACCGTGGTCACGGGTGGTCAGTTGGTCACTTGGTTACACGTATTCTGCCCTGCTAACTTTCAGCCTGAATACATCTTGATATGAGCATAATATCCACAAGATATTCAAGCTGGAAGGAGCCGAAATGATAGGGCAGGCAGCACCATTCCACACCCCACAAAGAAAAAAACCAGTGGAATTTTTGGCATCGACCGAAATTCGCAAACCAAGTTGCCCCTGCACCTACTGCACCTCTTGCTGTTGCTGTTGTTGCTGCTGATGTTGTTCCGCCTTTGCTTGCACGAAGGTGCCTTCTGTGTCTACAACCTTGAGAAATTCCTCCTCTGTGAATTGCAACCAACGGGCCGCTTCCAGGTGGGCCTTCTGTTGCTTTAGAACCTCGATTAATTTAAACTGTTTCTTAATTGCTGCTGCTAGTGCATCCCTTTGGGCCGTGACCTTCCGCAATTCTGCTGCATGGCGCGCAATCATGACAGCCTCTTTCTTTTCATTCTCCATCGTTTTTTCTGCTCGAATGTGCCGCGCCAGGCTGTTTTGCTGCCTCCGCAGTTGCTGCAACTCCTCAATGTCTTTCTGCCTCAACGCCACAACTTCCTTGCTCCTTGCAAGTGATCTGCAGTCAAGCAAAAAATGGTTGCGACAAACTGCTGCGTCTGTTTTGGTTAAACCTGCAGTTAGCCTGTTAGGAGCAGCCGCAATTTACATCAGCCAGCCTAGCGAATACTCTTTTCTATGATAGTGCTCAGTCAACTTGTTAAGTTTTATATAAAGATTTTGTCTGAAGAAGGTAGGTACGTGTAACCTGGTGCAGCACCTTGAAAGGACCTGCTCACTCTTTGAGCTGTTCTTTCAGTTGTTCTGCGCGAGCTTCCCTTTGAATCAGGAGCATTTTCTGCTTGTCGTTTGTATCCGCTGCCGCTGAGGCTTCGGCTCGTAGTTCCTGAAGCTGCTTTTGCTGCTCGGCTATCACCGAAGTAGCTTGAACGGCGTTGGCCTTTTGCTGGTGCAGCTCCGTTCCCTGTTGGTGCAGCTGCTGGTGTTGACTTTGCAGCTGAGCCTGCAAGGACTCTATCCGCCTGGCCTGAGCAGCAATGACTGCTCGGAGCTCGTCGACTTCACGCACCGTCAGACTGGCGATTTCGTCCTCTGCCTGGAAGCACGAGATGTCCATGCACTTAATATAGTCAACACTATGTGTATAGATTCAGTAGCCCGAACGAGACGCTTTCTGCTTCACCCGAACGCAACTTGTGGCTTATCAATGTGGACGCCCAAGGGCGACTCGCCTCTACTTCAGCACGTGTTTGAGTAGGCAGGGAATGCGGAGTGTTAAGGGATTGCATGCCTGTGTGAACATCTTGGCGAATTCCTCTGCTACCGGAGACCCCTTTGCCACCTCCTTCAGAAAAGGGCTAGGGAATGTTTCCGGCCCTACGCATTGCATTTTCTGTATTTTTGCCTGCAGGCTAGAGGCTTCCCCTGTAGCGGGGTCTCTAGCTGGGGCACTCAAAGGCCGCAAGCCAGTGGTGATTTTGTATGGCCGTGCAGACATTGTGGCCTCAAACTGTTGTCGGCGCCGCAAGAAGTACCTATCGGCCTCCTCCATGTGGCTTCTGCCCTGCTCTCTGCCCATGGCGGGCAAGTTGCATGTTGTTGAGTCCATCTCTCCTGCATTCGACTGATTTCATGTTACGCGGTATTATAGTCGTCATACGCTTGGAACGCGCAAGTGGATCACTAGGCTCAAAAGGCTGCTCGCGCCAAACAGATAAAACTCTTATGATTTACAACGAAACGCTCATTGAGATCTACATGAGGTTGCTTGCAGGCCTAGAGCAGCTGCAACTCTCGAGACCCGCCACCGGCTCCGATCAACCCACAGCGCATTGCGTCTGCAGATAGACTTTGCATATGCAAAAGATTTTCCCTTACAAATGAACGTTCTGTTCTTCGAAATCGGCAGCGAGGCGTGAGCTTTTGTATCTTGATTGACTGCAGGGCCCCATCCGCCAGGTGAGCTGCTCTAGAGGTCACTTTCTCTGCCGCGTGCTCTGTAGCCTCCGGCTTCTCCTTTGAGTAGCTGAAGCCTCCAATGCTTTCCTCCTTCCTTAAAATAATTATTTTTCTTTCTGTATACGATCAAGTCCTCAGGGAGGTGTGGACGGTGAGAGGGGTTTTGCAATGGATGCGGCCCCTCTGCGTGTCTTGCGAGTTGTGCTCTACATTTTTTTCGCTCCACCCGTGCGACTATTTGTTTTGGATTATGCTAAAAAAACGGGGGCTTTAATTTCATGCATGGTTTTGGGAAATTATATAAGCACTGACACCCTTCTGTTTTTAATGTTGAAGGGGCTGCAGTAACATTACAAACAACAGTGTCGTGTACGAAGCCCCGGCCAACTTATTTAAAGAGTACAATGATGAAAAGGGTAGAAGCACAAAGAATATATATACACACGCACATATAAGTAACAGAGAGGCAACAACAATTCGAAAAGGCCAAGGTCAACCGGCCTAAGTCTCCTACTCTAGGTCAATGCCCTCAGCATATTATGAGATACAAAAGATGGACAAATCAACATGAGATGTAAACAAGTCATAGCCAACCCCGCTGTGCATTAATCAGCAGTTTCGTAGAGCTTCACCGCTCCCCTATTACCAAAGTATTGTACGCTACCACCAGTAGTCAGCCACAATCTACCATAATTCCCCGAACATGATCTAACTCACAAATTAGGCGCATACACAAGGAACACAATATAATATATATATATATATATATATATATATATATATA